ATTGTTGAGCGGCATACTCGCTTATGAAGGATGCTTGCCATTGAACCATTGTCGAGTAAAGCTCGAAGTTTTATGTACTGTCCAGTCGAGGACTGCGCTTTAATATAAGCCGTAGCCAGCAAAACAGCTGGAAGGCAGGTTTCAGCATAGCTCGTGAGTCGGTTAACGATGTGGTCTGGAGTGCAGCGACGCTGCTACGTTGAAGCGATAAGCTATCGTGAAGAAGTGTGTGGTGCTTCTGCGAACACCTCAGGCAGGTGTATGAGGATTGACACTCGTTTGTAGAGTGATTTGCTTTTAGGCAATTTTGACAAAGTTTGAACTTTAAAGTTAGTTCAAGCTTCGTTGCTGGTTCTTTCCTTTTAAACTCAGCGCAATACATTAACGCATGCTTACCTGAGCAACATAGGCAACGACCTACATTGGTCTGATGACTGCGAATGGAAGTCAGAGCTGTTGACTTATTATTAGATGACGGTTCTTTAGTTTTGGGTTTGGAAGCCGACGAAGCTGCTTCTATGCCCTGAATACGTTTTTCCAAAAACTGCACCACAGTTGTATATTCTGGTAACACATTCGGAGATTCCAAAGACATTTCCCACTCTTTGACTGTCGCTGGGTCTAACTTCTCGGTTACAAGTAGAACAAGCCAGTCATCCCAGTGTTCTGTTGGCCGTCCTAGTTGCTTTAATGCGCGGACGGATTATAATATCCCAACGGTTTTTACCCTCCATTCCCGCCCATCCGCACGAGGGGCGCAGTCCGCATGACGTACGGAACCAATATTTTAAATTTTTGTGCCGAGTCACGATAGGCAGGAGTTTGTTAAGTGTCGAGATCTAAAACTGTTCAGCTACAGAACTAAATTCATCAGCTGATTTTATGTATTTATGTCAATAATTCACTTATTGAGAGAGGAGAGTATCGCTTTCTTAATGCTGAAAAGCGGATCTGATATATCAAACGTGCTGGAATGAGAGTTAAAATCCTGGCATAAGCAACGGAGTGGGTCGTGCAATTCAAAATTGGTTTTACAAGCTTTCAGAAATATGGGACAAAAGTGTCTTGATACGCGTGACGGAACATTAAAGCTTACATCAGCCAGAAGAGACGGACTTGAAATTGAGCCTGTCAGTAATTTAATCATAAAAATTATACCAAGCATTTCCCTGCGACTGGCAAGTGTAGGAAGGTTAATAAGTTTTAAGCGACTCGTATAAGGTGGAAGACTATATTGAGAATCCCATCGGAAATTTCTTAAAGCAAAAAGTAGGAATTGTTTTTGAATTGATTCTATCTTGTCTGAGTAAATTTGATACCTTGGATTCCAAACCACCGAGCCGTATTCCAGAATCGGCCTAACTAATGTTGTAAACAGGGTTTTAGTGATATACGGGTCACTAAATTCTTTTGACCATCGTTTCACAAATGCAAGTACACCTTTAGCCTTGTTGACTGTCACATTAATGTGAAGATTAAAATTAAGCTTAGGATCCATTGTGATACCAAGGTCCACAAAATTGTATACCTGTTCCAGGTTATGGTTACCTATTATATAAGAAACTGGCAGAACAGCTCTTCGCGAGAAGCACATTACTTTACATTTCTTAAGATTTAGAGGCATAAGATTTACTTTACACCAGTAAGCCATGCTGTTTAAGTCTGATTGTAGCAAAAACCTTTCTTCAATTGAAACGTACGATTTATAAAGTTTTACATCATCTGCATACATTAAAATTTTGGAGAATTTTATATCTGTAGAAATATCCTTTATAAAAAGCAAGAACAGAATCGGGCCTAGGTGGCTACCCTGAGGGACTCCTGAAGTAACATCAATGACGTCAGAGATAGTATTTTTAAACAATACCCTTTGTGATCTATCATAGAGGTATGAAGAGATCCAACGTAGAAAATTAGGTGGAAGACCATGAAGATCAAGTTTATAGATGAGCAACGAGTGGCACACTTTGTCAAATGCTTTACTGAAATCAGTATATATAACATCAACAGTTTTGCTCTCACTAAATGCTTTTGAGATATAGGATGTTAATTCAATGCTACCGCTTTTATGTAAGGGGGTTATGAACGATTCCTTCCATACAGTTGGAAAAACGCCCTCTTTAAGAGACAAATTAAATAAGGCTGTTAACGGCTCATAGAGATAATCAGCACAATTTCTAAGAAAACAAGTGGGGATCTGGTCAGGACCATAACTAAAAGACTGCTTTAAGGACTTCAGGTAAACTAAAACATCATCGGGAGATATTATAGGGTTATGTATTGAGTTAATTGGACTTAGTTTAAAAGGATAGTCAAAGTATGCTTGGGAGTTAGTGGAATAATTGGATTTAAAAAACTGAGAGAACATGTTAGAAATTCTTTGATCATCACCAGAGACGGTATTTTGATACTTCATGGCGGAAGGAAACCCACGTACATTTCGCTTGGAGTTTACGAAATCATAAAATGATTTGGGGTTATATATTATACGTCGTTTGATTTTACACAAGTAATCTTTATAACCCTTTTTGTTTAATTCAAAGAACTTGTGACGCAAAGTGAGTATTTTACATAGTATGAGTGTAAGCCGGTTTTTTTGTGTAATCTAAAATAACGTGAGTTTCTGTTTTTCAAGTTTCTCAGTTCTTTAGTGAACCATAACTGTGTTTGTTCTACAGGAACACACATGCGTTTAGGCACATACTTTTCAAATAATCTATGTACAGTAAAATTAAAATGTGCAACGCTTTGCTCAACTTTTTCTTTGTATATAGGCCACGACAATTTAGACAATTCTTTATTCAGTTTTTTAAAGTTGGCTTGCGAAAAATCAAAGCGAATATTTGGCTCGTATGTTTGTTTGGACATCGCAATTTTGACCATCGTTTATAATTTCGTAAGATATCTCAATAGCAGGGTGGTAGACATCTTCGGGCAAAACTAGTGGGTCACATTTATTTACAGCCGACTTAGATGCATCATCAACATAAACAACATCTAATACTTTGCCAAACTTATTGCGAAGTACATTAACTTGATTCAGGCAGAGTTCAGCCATCTCCTCTAAAAATACGTTGTTGCACGCGCTAGACGAGAAAGGTACAATATCATTGTCAATGATGTTCCATGATACATTTGGTAAATTAAAGTCACCCAACACAATCAATGAATCAGAGGGTTTAATCATTGAATTAATTGATTTCAGTAAAGATACATGTTGTGAATACACTGATAAGTCAGATCGGGGAGGAATATAGCATAGAGCTAAGTAAGTAAACCCCCTTCCAACCTGAACACGAATGCATTTGAATTCTGCAGATTCGATGTGTGGAAGACTACCTTCTTCAGATGGTATTGAAGAGTCTACGGCAAAGAGTACGCCACCGCCGACTCTGTCCCCCGATCTTTTCTGTAGATATGATAATTATTTGAAAGAATCTCTGAATTAAAAGTGTGAGGTTTGAGCCAAGTTTCAGTCAAAGAAATTATATTATAATTGCATTCAAGGCCATTAAGATATAAATTCGTTAATTTAGTATTTATGCCTCTTACGTTTTGATAATAAATACTTAAAGCAGATTTAGTAATCAGTTTTTTGGTTCTGTATTCTGACGGGGAATATTTGCTAAATTATTATTTTTGTTGGGCCTATACTCAAATTCACGAACGAAAGCTCCGGAGGGCCAAAAAGAACTACTAAGCAGCACGTCAAAATTTTCTAAATTTACGTCTATTTTAAATGAAGAAATATTTCTTTCATATTTAAAATTAAATTTTCTGATACTTAAGTTGACAGTTTTAACTTTGGACGAGATGTAAAACTTTATATCGTCCTCGGAAGTATCCCTCGAAAATCTAGATACAAATATAGACTTCTTTGGGGGAACCACAACCAGTCTCCTAGTATCAGACTCGATTACCGGCGGACGGGGTTGAGTAACTGAGTTACTAGTTGAGGGTAGAGTAAGCGTTGGAAGATTGGATGGCGGTGCCACAACTTCAACGGGGGACGGGGAAGATACTGCAGGGTCGTTATTATTAGAAGCAGACTTTGATATATGTTCTTTTGAGGAAGATAACTCCGTTGTCTGTGGACATGGAGAAGAAAGGTTAATTAAGTCATTCGGAAGAGTGTTCTGACGTGGAACGGTCCTTTCATTAGGCGGACTATGAAGACGCTTACGTTTTGACACACGAATGTCCTTCATAGATTGTACGGTATCTAAGCATTTAAAAGATTTAAATACATTTTCGTAATGTTTAAATTTTTCGGTCAGTACCGTCAACTCTCTCCCTACCTCAGAAAACCCATTTCTGGTTTGCCTAAACAACTTAAAGAGATCAACTTCGGTTGACCTGCACTTTAAGCAAGACCAGCGAAGACCTTTGCCATCGTTAATAGCGTCCAGAATTCTTCCTGTCAAACCAGCACATTTTAGATGGCAAATACCATCACAGAGCCAGCACGATAAGTAGCGTTCAGATTCGCTTTTGATTTGGCAGTTATCAAAATCACACTTCATATTGAAAGATTTAATAACACTTATGTTAATAAAAAGACAAGCAAAATAAGTTTAACACAACACACACAACAATTCAGGAGCTGATGTATTTAGCTTAAAATATATGTAGCGAACAGTTTGAGTATCACTGTAATGTGACACTTAATAAACGCAGCGCAAACAGCTGTGACAAGAAATACTAAACGAAGTAAACAAAAAGAGCAAAAAGAAATGTGCAAAAATAGAAACGATCTCAGTTAACTACAAAGGAATAACAACAACAATGATAACAACAAATGACTCGGCAAGATTAGATGTAAGCTAGTGAAATTTAATTAAATTTAATAAAAACCACAAAAATCACAAAACTTTCACTTAGCTTCGGTTATTATCACACTAAGATGCTCGTAGGCACTTTTTATAGCAACTTTTACTCAAAATTAGCACAATAAACTTTGCAAAATACAAAGACCAATCAAGGCACAAATAAGTAGAACTTCACAGCTTGACGTTTGCGTAATTAACGGATTCTGAGGTAGTATCCAAAAGTTTTCGCATGGCGTTATCTGACTCATTGGTCATCGCCGGAAGTTTCGTGATATTGCGCAGATAAGACTTGACAAGGCGTCGCTTATTGTCATAACGTTGTTGAAGCATATCCCAGGCTATAGCAAAATTGTTTTCCTGGATACTAATACTGCGAAGAAGAGTTTCGGCTTCACCTAGTAAACTGCCTTTCAAGTAATGCAGGCGTTGTACATCAGACAAACAAGCTTCATTAATAACGCATGTTGTAAATATATCTTTAAAACTTAACCATTTTTGAAACGAGCCATCGAATTTTGGCAGAATAATCTTCGGAAGCTTTGACGCTGATGTATTTGTAGTACCGCCGCATGTATGACTGAGTATGGTTGCTGGATGATTTTCACTACGATGATTGTCAAATTCTTTGATTTCATCATGTATTTCACCTAGTGCTTCGCTGTACGCCAATTCTATTGCTTCCAAACGAGCTTCACTTAATGTCGTCTTAACCTTGCCCTCTTCGCCTTCAATAACGTCTGCTGCAGAAATGTCATCACGGAAGTCATTGTAGCGCTTCCAATAATCAGCCAGTAGATTCCTTCTGGCCACAAGATAGCCCTTAGTTCTTTTTTGTTTGGATACCTTTCTAGTGTTTGCCGCAAAATTAAGAATTAATCGAGCAAGACCTTCTTCCTTTTCAGCTGACATGATGGCGAACACGTGATCAGGTAGATTTCGTGATGTAATTCGTATTAATAGTTCATATTAATTGCTTAACACAATTAAACAATTGGCTAGAGACGGTTCCCCGCAAGGGATGCCAAAAAATGTTAGAATTAATTTATATAATGCAATTTTTATTTAAGTAGACTTCACGTCAAAATACCCCACTAGAACTTGAAGGGAGATCTCCCTATGTGAGGAATAAAAGAGTACTCCCCTTAACCTGATATCTGAGCAATAAGAGAGATTTGTCGGTTTTGTACTCCTTTATTACTCGTTTAGGAGTCAAATAAGAGATCTCCTAAGCGAGCGACAAAATAGTGCTCCCTGAGGCATGATTTGGGAGCAGTAAACAAGATTTCTTGGTTTTGTACTCCAGTATTGCTCGCTTAGGAACTTAATGAGAGATATCCTAAGCGAGCATTTAAAGAATGCTCCCTGAGGCGTGATTTGGGAGCAATAAGCGAGATTTGTCGGTTTTGTACTCCGTTCTTACTCGTTTAGGAGCAAAAAGTGATGTCTCCTAAGCAAGAAATCCAAGAGTATTCTTTTTGATTGATAGGAGAGCAATACGCACCTTCACTCCCTTATTGTCTTTTTGGGAGACTTCTGGGAGGTTACTATGGAGTATTGCTTCTTTGGGAGGATTAAGGGATGCTCTTTTTATGTGTGCTCCTCGATTGCTCGTTTAGGAGGTAAAAGGGATTACTCGCCCTCCTAGGACATACAATGTTAAAGGGAGTATACAAAATTACATGCTTATACACAGAAGCATAGGGAGCAATGGGATGTATTCGTATACTCCCAAGGGAGTACTCACCGAGCAATCGTACGATGCTCCTAAGTACTGGGACATTACAGCCACCCATACCACGATTGTAAAGCTTATCTACGTTCTAAAATTCTTCAACTTAAAAAACTAGTACTCGGGGTCAATCGTGTGACATATGTACATATGCAGCTAACATACAACCGCGATCGACAAGCCAATCAGCGACTACCAGCGCATCACAAAGCTCGCACGAATAGTATGCACAAAGCGTGGACTACGATGACAAGTGCACTCTCGCCACATATGTTTATTGGGATTGCTGTGCAGTTGAAGCCTCTGAGTTGCATTTATCTTTAACACCTGAAAGTCATTCATTTCGGCTTCGAGCAATTGCACGCCTGTGGGGTGCTCTCTCCTGGCGGTCTCGCTTTGGCTATTTTCACGCGTTTCGTTGTGGTCGCCGCGATTTCGCTGTGGATTTGTGACTTTCCCCGTTGTTCGTTGTCCGAGCATGGTCTCTCGCTTTCGGCGTCGTTGGCGGTGGGCGGACGCCAGCTGACTGGGGTTGATGGTGCGCTTTTAACGGTGCCCATTTCTTGCACGGCCAATAGCGGCTGGTGTGTTGTCGCGGTCGCTGGTATCAGCGGTGGCCCGTGGAAAATCTGAATCCGCTGAATTCGTGGTTTATTTGGTGGCCACGGCGTACTCTCAAATGGCGGTCGCCACGGTCGGACGCGTTGTGGCTCGTCTGGCGCAGCTGGATGGGGTTTCCGGCGGCTCATCACTGCGGTGTGTCTGAAGCGCCTAATTCATAAAACCTGGAACGAGAAGATGGAGAGTGCTTTTGGTTTTGTCGCTGCGGCTTCGGTAGTTGGTTGGTTGTTTATGTGGTGAATGGCTTTAGATCCTGCAGGTGTGCGTGCGCTGGTTGTTTGTCGGGCCGCTCGGGGTTGCTGAGTTTCACCGTGTTGGTAGATATGTACTTCGCGATTATGTATGGGCCTGAGAATTTTGGAGCAAGCTTCTGTGCATAGTTGTCGGCAGCAGAGGAGAGTGGGTGATCTCGCTTCATAACCTTCTCCCCCACCTTAGGTTTCCACGGCCGTCTGCGCAGGTCGTAGTATTTTTTCTGCTGCTTGGCTGCCGCGGTGAGGTGCCTCTTTATCTCTGTCCATAACTCGGTGATGGCTGGAGGTGCTGCGGGTGCTCTTCAGGTACTGCCCCTTCGGAGCGTATCTGCCGTGGCGCTGCTGGATTGCGCCCGAAGTTTATCTCCGCGGCGGAAGGTTGCGTGGATTCGTGCAGCGTCGTGTTCATAGCGAAGGCGATGTGGGGGAGCTCCTGGTCCCAGGTGCGGTGATCTGCTTTTGAGCGCTGGGCTATCATGGTTCTTATTACTCGATTGGCTCGCTCGGTGAATTTATGTTCTATGCGATGTTCGCCGAGGAATGCTGCTAGCGCTTTGCCCACAAATTGTTTCCCGTTGTCGCTGAGAAAGACAGCCGAACCTGTAGATGACTCTCTCCTGGAGTGCTGTGATGACGTTTGCGGTGGTTGTTTGGCGTACGGGGACTAGTTCAACCCATTTGGAGAACTTTTCGACCAGGACGAGGAGGCACGTGTTTCCTTGTTTGGAGCGCGGCAGCGGTCCGACGAAGTCGGCCGTGACAATCTCCCATGGTCGTGAGCACTACATATTGGCCATCAATCCTGCTGAGCGTCTCTGTTCCACCTTATACTCGGCGCAGGGCAGGCATCTTCGCACTTGCTTGAGTAGTAGTTCTGCTGCGCTCGTTTGAGAGTTTTCGTGACACCTAGATGGCCGGCCGCTGCGGCGTCATGCACTTCTTGCAGGATGTCTGGTCTACGACTGGTGGGGATGCAGAGCTTCCATTGAGGTGCGCGGGAGAGCTTCTTGCGCGGCGCGATGTGGTGGAACAGTCTATTGTCGATGACTTGGTAGTCCGGGTTGCGACTGGGTTGTTGCTGTACCACCTTCAGTTTCCTCTCGTACCAATCGCTGGTGCTGGTTTCCACGGTGTGGAGCGTGGCTGCTCTGTCATCTGTAGTTGTTAGTGGGCATCGCGAGAGTGCGTCGGCTACTATGTTCAGTGCTCCCTTACGGTATTCGATGTCAAAATTATACTGCTGGAGTTCGAGCGCCCATCTTGCCAGTCGTCCGGATGGGTTGTGTAGCCACTTCAGCGAGTGGTGGTCGGTGATTACGGTGAAGTGGTATCCTTCCAGGTACGGTCTCATCTTGCGTATCCCCCATAGCACAGCGAGGCACTCTTGTTCGGTGGCTGAGTAACGCTTCTCCAGGTCGTTTAGGCTTCGGCTGGCGTACGCCACGACTCTCTCGTGGTCGGAGGGGCGTTGAAACAGGACCACTCCGAGCCCTTCTCCGCTGGCGTCGGTTTGGAGGAAGAAGGGGCGGTTGAAGCCGGGGCAGCAGAGTGCTGGCGTGCTCGTGAGCTTCTCTTTTAATGTCAGGAATGCATTTGATTGTGGTGTGCCCCATACCCAAGCCTGGCCTTTCTTCAGCAGTTGGTTGAGTGGTGCTGAAAGCGTGGAAAAATCGGCGACTAAGCGGCGGTACCATGATGCAATACCGAGGAATCGACGAAGCTCTCGGGTGTTCTCAGGCGCAGGCATTTCTCGTACGGCGGATATTTTTGCAGGATCAGTGTGTATGCCCTCGGAGCTAACGATGTGGCCGAGGTAGTGGAGCTTCTGTTGTACAAAGCTACATTTGTCGAAGTTCACCTGCATCCTCTTTCTCTGGAGTCGTTCGAACACTTCTCGTAGATTGCTCATGTGCTCGTCGAAGGTGTCTCCTAGGACGATGATGTCGTCTAGATACGCGAATACCTTCGGCTGAAGTTCCGGGCCGAGAATCGCATGACTTTCCACTGGAACAGCCCCCTCACGGTAAAGGCGGTATATGGCCGTGGTCCTTTGGCTAGGAGTATCTGCCAGTAGCCGTTTTTTTTTCAAATGGTGGATATGTACTTCGCTTCTCTGAGTTGGTCGAGGATTGCTCCAGTCTGGGGCAGAGGGTATGCGTCTGGTTCGCTGGCGGCGTTGAGTTTGCGGTAGTCTATGCACATCCTCCAGCTTCCTTGCTTCTTACGAACTAGGACAATCGGTGAGCTGTACGCGCTCTTTGATGGTTCGATCCGCTTAGCTGCCAGCAGCTCATCGACTTCAGCATTGATCACTTGTTGCATAGCCGGGTTACGGGGGTAGTAGCGCTGCTTCAGCGGCCGGTTGTGTTTGAGAGTGATCACATGCTCGGCTGCGGTACTGGGTCCGGTGATTCCGCCGAAGGTCTTCTTGTGGTGTGTCAGGAATTCGGCCAGCTGGTTATTCTGCTCCTTGCTCAGGTGTTCTCCCTCGGTCAGAGCGCACAGCTGGGATGGTGCATCTGTTGCTCGCGGGATGACTGCGGGCAGTGATTGTCCATCTAGCGTGAGGACAACTCCTCTGCCTCTGAGGAAGTCCATCCCCAGGATCATGCGCTCTGCGAGATTTGGGAGTGCCGAAGCAAGTGTTGTTGTCGCTCGCTTTCTAAACATTATTCCCACTGGATAAGTGTACAAGCTGGAGACGCATGTTTGATCGGCCAGTTGTACGTTTCGGTGCGTAGGTTGATGCTGGACTTTCCTCTCTATGGACTCGTCGATGTAGGTGAGTGTTGCGCCGGTGTTTAATAGCGCTCGTATGTTCATACCTTCTACGCTCACATCGATATAGTAGCGACCATCTACTTTTCCTCCTGGTTGAGTGTTAGTATCCACAGGGGCGGCAGCTATCGGAATTGTTCTGGTGCTGCGTATTTTGCGGGGCGGCTTCACGGTGGCATTGTTGCACGAACAATCTCTGGAGAGGACGTTATCTCGGCCGCACCTAGAGCAGAACAGTCTTTTCGTCCTTCGGCATCGGAAGCGGAGGTGCCCGCGTCCTTTGCACCGCCAGCAGGATTCCTCTTTGTTGTACCTTTCTTCTAGGGGAGCTAGGCTGTGTGCTGCCTGCCATTGCACACCATTTAGTCGCGATTGGTTATGCCGAGCTTGGCTTGGCTGGCCGGCATTAGTGCGCAAGCACACCATCTGCTCATCGACCAGTCAAGTCAGCTACTCACCTAGCAAGACTGACCTGACTGCGCACTTGTTAAGTCTTTTATACCGGTTGCGCTGGATGCTTGTTGAGA